GTATTTCAGGTAGATATATATCATAGATGCAGTCCACCTAAGCTGTCTGAACCAGTGTTAGTTCTTACTGCCAATTTTGATTTAGCCTTACTCTTTTGACAAAATTAGGACTTTGTCTGCCATGGAGTCAATACTGTGGCAAGATCACAGAGGGTAGATATCAGTTCGACCAAATATTAACACATTTTCAAATATGTGTGTTTTTAAGGGTAAATGTGTAGTGGTACACCACCCAACACCCTATACCCTTAAACGGAAACAGTCAGTTCCTACATGTCTTTGCTGCCACTTCCATAGACATGTTTTTATACTGAAAAGATTACGATACCATGTCATTATTGGTATCTTGAGACTCCAAATATTTGAGGATGTTTCAAGGTCCCTTAACATTGCTCAAAGACTGTATGTCTTGGCCTCTGCTGGTTGGACTTCAGTTTGTCTCCCCTTAGATGGAAGTGGAACAGAACTAACTGGAGTACCTCGCACAAACCTCAAACCAAAACTATAATTTATTTGCCATTAGTAGTGGACACTCATGTTATTATCTAAGTCTACTGGTCAGACAAACTGTAGTCGTCATAAAACAAGGTTTTTTTTAAGCAGTGCCATTACCATATTTGGTTTGTGTTTGCCTTCTGGTTTGGATTCTGCTTTCTAGCAAATTTGAAATAGCTGAGGGTTAGAAACAAGGATGAATAAAGTCAGATTTGTTTTAAGATTACGCCCCATCATTTCTGACATATTCTTTCATAATTTGCTGGATTTTTTAAGTGTTAATTGTAGCCAAATTAAATAAATTGGTAACCCATCTGCAGCCGTTAATCTCATAGAGGTTCTGTTACAAGGTAGTCAAATTTCAGCACCAGGTTTGTGCATCCAAACATACTGTGGGTTTCTGTTTTGTTTTGTTTTTTGCATCATTGCAAAAGCGAGACAGCATTCCATCCGACAGTCTTTTTTTTTACTTGTGAGTCATGGGGAATCATTCCATTATTTATTATTGTTGTAATTTTATCATTCCGTTTACATTATTGTTGTCATTTCATTGACATGGTTGCCATTTCATCTCATCTAATTTTCACTGATGCTGTTTATTTTTTCTTTTATTGTTGGATTTTCTATATGTGTACTTATATTTATATCACCTTATACTCCTATACTTCTTATTTTATATCATGTGTTGTTTTTCCTATTGTGTTCGCACCAAGAGAGTAACAAATTTCATTCCACATATATTTTTTTACATTTCTATGCAAAAGTAAAAAGAAAAAAAAAAAATATGGTCTTGTTGTAGACGGGTATATAAAAACAACCTCTAAAATATTCTACAGTTTGTCCACAATTGCTGAAAAACTCCTTGACTTCCGTGTGTTTCACTTCACTCCAAATGCTTTAGACTCTGATTGCCAGTAGGGAGTAAAGCGGTCCCCCTTCCTGTGAGAAAAAAAAACTACTGCAAATAGTGTGAAGTGGAGGGGGAGGTGGACGAGTCTCCCTATTGGCTGAATCCTGGTTGTCTTTGACCTAAATGCTAAACACAGAAAGCTTTGCTTTTTTTGCCTTTAAACATCCCCTCTTATTTATAATCCTCTTTTAGTTTCCCTTCACTCTTTGTGTGGTATTGAATGAGCCACTGAGCATTCACCCTTCGCACCCTCCATGAAGGGAGTTGTGAAGTGTGGGTAAAACCCAGCTCAGCAGTCTGTCACTCATCTTTCCTCTTTTAACTCCCTCAGCAGAGGAATGAGGAGGTCAGGAGGAGTGCGAGCTTGTAGGCTTTTTTACCCTACTCTTCTGTCTACTACAAAGAGTATGTTTTCCATTGCTTATGTTTGTGTGAGGTATTTCAGGAAAAGCTGCCTATGTGCAGCCACCTGTTTTCTGTTGTTGGCCCAATTAAAATAGCTGCTATACCATAACATCTTCTCTTAACAACCGGTTGAAGCTCAGAAAGACGACCTGACTGGGTCTTTACTGTGGCTGTTGTCAGTGCCAGCTCAGGCAGGTATTTGCAGGTTTCTGAGTGAGAGTCACTGCTTCTCTAAGATTTACACTGTTACTCCTAAAGTGGGATCAACTCAAGTTGGAGTGGCACCTCACCTTTATGCTTAATGAGCTATGTTGTCAAGGAAACCGAAATTGGTATAATGGATGAGGGGAGGAGGCATACTCCTTGTGGGCGGCAAGGCGTGATTCTGCTGATTTACTTAGAGTTACATTGGTTAAAGAACTGAGACCAACCCAGATGGATTGTGAGACATTTTTATGTGACTCCCTTGTAGCCTGGTGTATTGGGGTTAACAGGGTTTGTTTGGTTTAGTCATAATCACTTTCATTGTTTTATTTAAAAATGACATTAATTCGATTAGTTCATGTGACCTCACATAACAGGTCACAGCCAGTATGAACATAAACACCTGCGTAATTGATTTAGCTTGGTCCAGAATCTTTGTAATACAGTAGGTGCATAAGTGGTCGTCAACCAGAAGCCATACATTACAATCTGCGTGACAGAAAGAGCCATTGCTTTGTTGGCAATGGAAATTTAAATAAAACAACAAAGGAAGTCATTGTGGGCGAGCTGCTTCCAGCTGCTTCAGTTTTTAATATTTCAAATGTTGTGTGGGAGATACATTAAAATGGTGCCGCAGGTTTTCTTAACCAAACCCGGGGGAATGGGTGTAATAGCAAAAAGGAAATGAACGGATGAAATCCAGCAGCTTAATAGGATCCTCGTACATGCCTCCTGTCGCCAGGAAGACCTGACATCACAAGCTCTCATCATGTCATAAATCTGTCCCTCCATTTCTATTTCCTGCGCTCTCCAGAGAATCACAGCTGCTTTGTGATTTTTGTCTCTTCTTGATTGTTCTGACCCTCCCGCTGCCCCCTCCTAATTCTCTCTTCCATCATCGCCCATCTGCTGCTTTTTGTTGCTGCAATTAAAGGTGTCGTGACTTACAAGTCCACCTAACACAAAGTGAAACTTGACTCAAAAAGTTTGGAGGCGTTACAAAAACTTTTGTGTCAAGTTGCAACTTCCTGGCCTGTGAAGAAATCCAGTCCGACAACTTCAGTCGCACGAGCAAAGACTAATTTATAGTATTGTACTCCAGAAACTGCTGTAGGTGGTTTTGTTGCTCAATGCACCTGTGTGACACATGCGCACAAACTGGCTTTCACTGTTGAATTAGTGTAAAAATGAGATCTTTATTGTCTTCCTGTGCTTTCTTTGTGGATGCATCCAATTAAAGTTGAATAAGATAGTTGATATTATAAGATATTATCTATAACAGCTATATAATTAACAATATATATTTTCTGTAGTTTATTTTGTAAAGTGTAGTTTTTATGGGTTAACCAGCAGGGGCTGGCCTGGTAACAAGCCGCTCCTCAGTTTGTAGTAGGGGAAAAAAAGATGACGTTTATAATAACTCTTGACACGTGTAAAAGCTCTTGGCTTTGAAGTGCTTCTTTCACAAAGGCTTACAGAGCAGACATACCTGTGGCTCCCAAAAACAGTTTCATCTATAGCCCTTCATGAATTAAAGGATTTATCAAAAACGTTTTGATTAATATGTGGCATTCAGCTTAAAGGTGAAAATCACTCGTACTTGTAAAGTGTAATTGTTTTTTTCTGTTGGTTAATGCACCTAGCAGATTGTGACTATATATATATATATACATATATATATATATTTTTTTTTTTTTTTTTGGTTTGTGTAGCATGTACTTTTGTAGAATTGTTAAAAATATTTCAACTTAGTATGTTTTGGTTTGTTGCCTCATGAAGATATTTTATCACAAGAGCTCACAAGGGATAAAATGTTTTACTACACAATAATAGCTTCTCTATCTGTAAGGTCACCTCCACAAAACCTTTTCCTGTTGTTTATCTCCTCTTATTTTTCCCTTCCTTTATTTATTCCACTGGTGTCACTCCCAGCTGCAGACACTGAACTTGGCAGCAGCTCTAAATATAAACTACATTGCTCGGAAGGTTCTCATATCGTGAGCTGACTTTTATCGCTGGACAGGATTTCACAGATGAGGAATAAACGAAATGACATCAAACTTTGCCCAATCTGCTGATGCGTGTTCCCAGAATAGCTGCTCTTGATTTTGCTCGTCTCCTTCAGCTGTGGACTAGCAAATCCATTTCAAATCACCTTGCCTGAGACCTGGTGAAATAGAGCGTGCGATTGTTCACTGTCTGTCTCCCAAACAGACCGTAGTTTTATGTGTGTTTGTGCCTGTGGCCAGACTCTGCCAGGTAGCATGCCGACTGAGCACATTGAACGGACATTGTGTGTTTGTGCTGCTCCTCATCGAATACAACTTTCAAGTTAAAATTAACAGGATCTTTTTAACAGTATCAGAACTGCTACTGTTTGTAAAGCCATTGTGTTTTTCTAAAACAATTCAAATATTTTGCCTTTATATTTTCAAATGTTACAACTTAGAATGTTTAGTTCAGAAGCACAGGCAACCTGGGCAGGATTTATGTTGTTTGCTGCTATAAAAGGTTTAGGAATTGTGTGCATGACTGGACATTAGTTTGTAAACTTGCCTTTTATCACTTGATTAAAATATGTGTTCACATTAGGTTTGAAAGCAAATATATTTAAAAAACTGGACTGACCCAAACCTGACTAGACTTATTTATTATAATAAATTATTTTAATAATTATTAGGTAAGTATAGTAATTTCATAAGATTTAAATTTTAAGTAATTACAGCTTTATTTATTCCTTAAGCTTTAACTGACACAAGCAAATAATTTATTTAGTTTTATTTATATTCTGCCAATTTAAAAATGTTACCCAACCTTTTGTCCATATATATTATTTTAAGGTCTTTGTTTATATCCTGTCTACAAAGGCCTACAAATGGCCAGATGCCCTATGGTTTGCTGTTATATTAGCTCACCATCATCTTTTTACTTGCCTACAAATGGCCAGAGCATATTAGCTCACCATCATCTTTTTACTTTTTCATAGGGGGACTCCATGAAAGATGACAGAGGAGGTGATTGTTGTAGCCAAGTGGGACTACACGGCCCAGCAGGATCAGGAACTTGACATCCGTAAAAACGAGCGTCTCTATCTCCTGGACGACTCAAAAACCTGGTGGCGCGTTCGCAATGCCGCCAACCAAACAGGGTATGTGCCCTCCAACTACGTAGAACGAAAGAACAGCCTGAAGAAAGGCTCGCTGGTGAAGAACATCAAAGACACACTAGGTAAGAAGAACACCAATGCTGTCTGCAGGTTACCTGTGTTTATTTAAATTGGATTGATGGTATGTCCCCTCGCTTTTCACCTGAAAAAGTGAGAAAAAGTGTTGTTCACATTGAGGTCACACACTGAAGATATTTGATCTCATCCCAACAGATTACAGACAAACACATACACAAATATATATTGCAAACGGTGCTGTTTATTACCAAAGGTCTTTTCTATATAATTGGACAAAAGTAACTGTCAATGTGAGAGTTGTTCAAGGGAAATAATTGGGTGGTTGTATTCAACTGTCATATTGAAATAAGCTCGGAACCTTCTCTTCACAAATGTCTCCTTAGGAATGAAAGAATAGGAAAATCTGTGCGCTGCCACCAAGCAGTAATGCACTGGTGATGAAAACTTTATTCTCGGCTGCTGACTCACTTAGGTGTCATGAAAAGTACCTCTATACCACAGAATGCAAAATGATAAGCCACTATTTTGATGCTTTGCTATCAGATATTCGTACTGGAAGCTTGCTAGGAAACTACACATAAAAAACTATATAATACTGCTGTCTTTAGTATAATGTTGCTGTATTATTTTACTTATTGTGCCTAGTTTAAAAACATAGATCCCCTCAGTGTCTGTACACTGTAAACGGATACCCGCAGCGTCTCTCAGTCCCCAGTGGGAGCTGTCACTGAGCACTCCAGGGATCCCACTGAGGTGGCCGCTGCCCTCAGCTGTCAGCCCTCAGAGCCAGGTCATGTCGCAAATATATAGGACAGTGACGGTGTAGCCATGGATACCAACGTATGTGAGTGCCTGTTGGTCCATATAATATAAGAAGCCACTGCTAAGAAGGTATTTCTTTCTTAAAATACTTGGGTTGAATATGTCAGCTTGACCTTTTAATGCATCTGTGTTTTGCCAGCCATAGTTCAAATTTGGGTCCATCCTCATCATCAAATCTGAACACATTCATTTATTTCAGACTCTTGAAGTAGTAGCACAGATGGTCGTTCTACATACCAGCCAACTAGAGAAACAAATGCAATTTGCCAGGAGATTGACTACTGTTTAGATCAATGTGGCCTCAGCCGGATCCAACATATAACTGAATGATAAGTCTGCTCTATTCCCATGCAGTGGACCGGATCCAACATATAACTGAATAAGTCTGCTCTATTCCCATGCAGTGGAGCTTGACCACTTTTTCACAATCCAATGCTTAATAAAGAAAATGTTGTCTTTTAGATTTGGTCATTAATAAAACAACTGTGTTTCTTAACTCGATTACTGACCTGAACATGTACATAGACGCCTGCATTTAATTAGCCTGATAGTAACAGAGATTGATGGCAGAAATCCAGCTGGCAGTGGTGTGTGTGTGATGTATACGATCCTACAAGTTTGGGCAACAGCGAACTTTAACCTTTCCTCAATGAAAGTAAGAGTAATAATACTCAACACTGTGTTTGTATTTTGATCTGATCTTTTGATTAAAAACTATAACACACTATAAAAGAAGATATTACCCCTGAGGCTGGAGCTGTTATTCTAAAATAACACCAGGAGACATGAATTTGGTTACTTTTTGTCATAACCCAAAGATATCGTCTAATTAGCAATAACTGAATATCAGGCTGTTTGACGACACGTGAGCCTGAAAATTCATATAATTCTTCATCATTTTGGGGATAAGTGAAAATAAATGTTACAGATTTTTGCTGCTGTGGAGAGCAGATCCACAGATGTGACAGCCAGAAGGCACAGCCGGCAAATTACCGCGGCATCAGCCACAGACTTGGGCTGATTTGGGATGTGTTGGCATGCAGCTCAATCTGAGAATGTAGAAATTAATCTGGAAATGTCGAGAATAGAAGGGATGATGAGGGGAGGATTGGTCCCAAATTGCTGACTTTTCTAGCCGGTGTGGATGTCAAGAGAGAAAGCTGTGGCTTTATGTGGGCCAGCGTGGCACAGCCTGCCACTGTCAGCTCCAGCCAGGCTCAGTGTGTGCACAGCAACACATATCTTCACTTCATTCTGCTTCAGTGTGCTTTCTGTTGGACCCCTCTCCATGTAATTGTCATTTAACATATTACAGATAATGGGGTCAAATAGTGAGATGATAATAAACAGAATAGAAAATTTAGCAGCAAACAATAAACCTTTACTGAAGTAAAGCTTTAAAAAATGCTTTAATCATATTATCATAGTATATAAATAACAAAAAAGTAGTTTTACTAATATTACATTTAAATAGCTCATTGATGACCAGTTTATTATGACCTATAGCTTGTCCTTGTCCATTTTTTAAATTCATTTTATTTTGTCAGTAAAGTAACACAATTTGTCGACTTTCATAGACCAGGACGTATCCTGAACGGAGAGAGGTTTATGTTTATTCTAGGAGTGTCAGGTTCACAATGCATCTCATCCCATTGTGGATGGGAATGTGTGCAGTCGGTGGAACTGAACCTGACACGTCTGCATGGCAGAAGAAAGTCTTACCACTGAGCTACCACCGATCCCTGCAAGAAGTCAAATATAAGAATAAAATATATTTATTTAAAAATGACAATATATTTACCTCTTTCTGTATCTATATATATGTGTGTGTTAGTGTGTGTGTGTGTGTGTATATATGTGTATATATACAGTATATATATATATGCTGGGTTTTTTTATATGGTTCTAACATCCAAGTGTGCATAGCAGAAAACGAAGCAGGTATAACTGCACCAGATGTATTTGATTTAAATTTAAATTAAATTTACGTTGTCGGTAATTTAAACAAACTACCAGTTTAAAAAAAAATTGAAATTTCGCTTTTTTTGTATCGAAAAAATATAGTAACACCGTGAATTTTGTGTATAGTGCACTCCTAATATATATAAATGTATATATTATTATTATTAACACCTTTATTGTTATTGTTGTATTATATTACAAAGAATGATCCCATTATTTAAATTTTAACCTGGTGTACTGTACAGCTGTTGTCTAGTGTTGGCAAATGCAGCTTTTCTACAGTGTGTAGATTGATTGCAGAAATCAGCCTCCTGGAATGATGGATTAGCTCTCTGTCCGTGACTATGTTACATATCGACTTCAACATTATGGCCTAGTTCCATTTCAGTCCAAGTAGTTTGCTTCCAGGCCAGCAGCTCCTCAGTGTTAAAAGCCTGAGTAATGAGAACATTTTTATGATGAGGTGATGAGCAAAAGGTGAGGTCATGGGCTAATGGAACTTACTCACACAAGGGTGTAGACAGTGTGATTGGCCCAGAGTGTGATTATGTCACAGCATCTGAAGCTCTTTCCTTAGCTCTTCAGTATGTAAAAGCTGCAGTAGTTGAACTTATTCTGGGATTAGTGTTATCTTTAGCTTTTATCTCCCCATTCACTTACTGTGTTTAATGCAAGGCCATCAACAATACTCACTTAGACAGGATTGAATTGTACACGGCTCCATGCTGCTTTGTGTCCCAGTTTCCTCTCACAGGTCATAAAACCACAGTGATGGGTAAAATAATTCAGCCTTGGCAGCAGACGCAGCCTCGCTCGCTGCTCAAACTGGGCCAGTACAACATAATAGCAAGATGGATTTCTGTCCACCTGTTTTTACAGCTGTGTGACTGTGGGTGCATGAAGGTGAACGATAGGCACTTAGTCATGTCCAGAAGTGTTACATACTCAATTTAAGTACCATCTCTTTACTCTATCTCAACCTCGGACAAGCTGCAAATATATCAATATACAGCTCAGTAAATATACATCTTTATTATCTTTATTTTTAATTTGAAAATGTCCTAATGATTTGCATCCAGACTCCCACGTCTGCCCTAATGATCATTACACAGTGTTTACCAGTAGATCATAAAGAATGAACCGGTATATAAATTTAACTAGATTCAAACTTTTATGCTATCTGTGGAGTTCTGGAGATAAACTAGTGTGTGTACAATCTCAGCTTGTTAATGCACATGTGATGACAGTCTGCTGTCTGAAGTAAAATATTCAAAAAGCCTTTAATATTCTCTGGTAGTGGGATGTGGCCCACATAATAGGTGTGTGTTATTAGTCCAAACCAATTGAAAAAAATAAGACTTTGAAAGACAAGCTCTTAGGTCTGTAGCTCTGGTAACACATGTCAGAGTTGCAGTTCTGGAGTAAATCTGAAGAACCCAAAGTAGCTTGTTTACTAGTTTTAACACTTGTTATCACTCTGCCACTCGTTTATTTGGATGACGTGTGCTGTAAGTGTGGTCAAAGATTGAAACGATTGTAAATTTACAAGCCCTGCAAAGTATTAGCACATTCCCAGGCTGCAGACGTCAAACAAAGCCTCATCTTTATTTATCTGCAAAATACCAGAGCAAACCTTTTAAATTCTTATTGTCAGGTTCTTTTCATTCTGATTCAGCCACCCATCCAGCCATTTAGGGGAACAATCCACACTGGTTTTACACACAAATGCTTTTAAGTCTCTGTGGCATGCACTGAGGGGATAGTAAGAACAGCGCATTACTGTGAGGAGAGTTAATTGGGGTTATTTAAAGGGTTATGTTACAGCTCATCTGCTCCTCTTTCTACTCCTTACTGGCTGACACAATGCTAATGCATCATTCAAGGCCCAGGTTATGCTTTTTTATCATTAACCCACACTTTACAATCTTTGTCATGTGGGTGTTTTTATAGCAGGGAGTCATTTTATAAAGTCACTTCCTGCACTGGCTTACTCGGCTAATCAGAGAGTAAATCCAACTTCACTGCAGCATGCAGCCGTCAGAGCTTCAAATCACTGGCCTCTGAATTCTGTGGGCTTTTAAGTGTAGATTAAACAGGTAGATGCAGTTTGGGAGTGAACGTGTGGGCGAACAGACTTTTTCCCAACTCTTCTGTAACAGCAGGACAGGCTTTTGAAGTGGAAATGAGTGAGGGTTGAAAAGGATGAAGTGTCTTATGTGGTTGTGGTGTAACTGTAAGTGAAGGTGTGTTCTGGTACGCTCGACTGAATTGAATTGCTGGGTTCATACCCAGAGGTCACCAACTATATTTGTTGTAGGGCCAGATTTTTTTCTGGACAGACACCTTCAAGGCAGGGCACTCAAAAACATTATTATTTGAGGTCTATTTTTGAAATTATGTTGGTTGAATGCAGTGCCTCGGGCACTGTTGGTCCAAAGCAAGAACTCATAGTTTGTTGGAGAGTTCACTTAGTTGGTTTTATTCCCCAAAAATTCAACTTTTGAGATTGAGGTGCTTCAATACAATTTGTCATTTCAGTTAGAAAGAAGTGACCACAATAAGTAGTTCTTCCAAAAAAACAAAACTGTTTTTACCACAGACCAATTTTTTCTACTGTTAAATGTTTTCTTTTACAGGGCAAAGTAGAGCAGTGGTTAAAAAATATATAATCATTCATAATAAAAATGTCTGGTATTTACAATACATGGCTAATGAATAGTGATGCATTCACAACCCAAAGGCCAGAATTATACGTTAAAATTTGATCATAAAGTTTTGTCCAGATTTAGTGGGGTTTGTTTTTTTAGATTGTTTGAGGTGAGAAATGTTAGGTTTTCCCCTCTGTTTTGATGACATTCAGTTTTATATTTCCTTAGAGACCACCTGAATGAAACTTAGGAGTTGGGAAGAGATGCAGAAGCCTGTCACACAGTGCGATCTGATATGTGAGATGCAGGGCTCTATCCATAAACATGATCTGTTTATTATGCTCGCCTCGTCCCCTGTCTTTTTTCATTTTTTTGTCAGCTGTGGCCTCTGATGTTGCTCCGTTTACTGTTTGTGTGAGAAACAAGCGCCCGGGGACCCCTCACCGCTCCCCCTCCTCCTTCCTCTCTGCCAACAAGTTTCATGCTACTCTGCGTGAACCCTAAAAATTCTCCCCAAACAATGCAGATGTAATAACCAGCCATGACATTTCTGTGACATTTTTAGCAGCTTCCTTGGCTCAAAGCAGGTCATTAGCTGTCAGGAAATGCACCTCACCCATTATTAGAGCACATGAGCATGTGCCAACACCTGCCCCGGCTGTCAAGTAAAGCACATGAAATATTGTCAGCCACATGGTAAGTTTGCTATTATTTTACATGAGAGAAGACACTTGAGAAAGTTACAGAACTGTGTGAAAACACATGCTTAAAGACTCTTACTTTGAAAGTACACGTTTAAAAGTAAATGGAGCTGACTTTGATTCCAGATATGGCTGTCATTACCAGGCCCAAGGTGCCTGCTCCACTTTTCATTCCCCTGTCTGCACCACCTATTTTCAGCTGTTTGATGAGTATAGACGCGTGTACGCTGCGCAGGTGGTGTGGATGGAATACCAAGTGGATAATGAGCCCTAGATTTCACCAGGTTTGAGTGAAAGGATTTGGTTGCTCACGGGGTGAGTGGGTGTGTGTACCTGACTTAATTCTATTATTACAATTATTGATCTGTCCTCAGCCCCTGAGGTTTCTGTATTCTTTTGCTCTAAACTAGTTTTCTGTGCTGACTCAGGGGCTCGTGAGCACCAATTAGCATCCTGCCGACCTGATCTGCCTTCTCCATCTGTGGAGCGCCGGCTTCTTATCCCCTGAATATTCCTTCTGTTGCAGAGGCAACTTCATTGCCAGCATTTTAACAGCTTCTCTTGCACCCTACCACGCTCATTGAGTAAACAGTTATTTTCAATATTCTGAATTTATCTTATCAATGAGATTATTTTGGGTTGAGGTTTGTAGCTTTGAGAGAAAATAACAGAAAATGTTGAGATGGTTAAGGAGAAAAATAATTGATATTTTAGACACAGGATGATGGAGATGATGGAGATGATGCTGCGAAGTGTATAGAAATAAGGAGGAGCCTAATGAAATCAATGAACCAAATGGAGTACATGATGATAGTGGGTGAAACAGTAGAAGGGGTAATATAGAGGGTAACATGGAGGCAGCTGGTCTGCAAGGTTAAAGCCAAAAAAAATGTGTTTCCTGTTTTTACTTACAGCTCGCTAAACATCCTGATCCTGAAGTTTTTGTTTTTTTCACAGCAAAGTGCAGTCAACTAGAGCATCTCATGTTTTTGAATCACAGGAATGGTGCTTTATTTTTGTTATTGGAAAATAGATAGATATATAGAGATATTATTTGGGCAAAATGAAACATCCTTTGGGCAGATGGAGGTAAAAAGTGAAAAATTCATATAATTTCTGACATAACCTTATCCAGATATTATCCAGAAATAATTGTATATTGAATATTAGAGTTAGTACTCGACCTTAAATCTATGCTTTTCATTTGCCCGAATTTTTGCAGACAACAGAGGTGAGGTGATAATGTGGTGCAGTTGTGTGACGCTGCTGTGAAGCCTGCTCTAATCTGTCTCTGTCTGTTTCTTGGTTCATACCACAGGTTTGGGAAAAACCAAGAGGAAGACAAGCGCACGTGATGCTTCTCCCACACCGAGCTCGGACACAGAGTGCCCCACCAATGGCAGCGGCGGTGGTGGAGGTGGGGGAGTTGGAGCTGCAGAGAGAATCTATGACCTCAACATCCCGGCTGTGGTCAAGTTTGCCTACATGGCAGAGAGGGAGGATGAACTGACGCTGGTCAAGGGCTCCAGGGTGATCGTGATGGAGAAGTGCAGCGACGGTTGGTGGAGGGGCAGCCAAGCGGGGCAGGTGGGCTGGTTCCCCTCTAACTATGTGCACGAGGAGCTGGTCGGAATGGATGATAGGGGAGAGGGAGATTCCCCAAGGGGTTTCCACGCAGGCTCCCAGGGAACTTTGTTGGCCAACGGACGTGCAGGTGGCCGCGCCGGAGCTCTTCACGTAGTTCAGACACTCTATCCCTTCAGCTCTGTAACAGAGGAGGAGCTGAACTTTGAGAAGGGGGAGATCATGGAGGTGGTGGAGAAGCCCGAGAATGACCCAGAGTGGTGGAGATGTAAGAACTCTCGCGGCATCGTAGGCCTGGTACCTAAGAACTATGTGATGGTGCTGGAGGAGAGGCCCGCCATGCCTTCGTCCACATCGGGTTCCCCGCAGTACCAAACCGTATTACCCGCCCGTTCAGGGAAGTTCTCTGGACGGGACTGGTACTACGGCAACATCACCAGGCACCAAGCGGAGTGTATTCTCAATGAACGAGGGGAGGAGGGTGACTTCCTCATACGAGACAGCGAGTCATCAGTGAGTCTGTCGGGTGACATCATAGCAGAGACATCAGCTGTTAGATGGTCTCCGTTGTGTTTTATTATGAATGTTGTAGCAGATAAAAACAAAGCAACAAACATTGCTCAAAGTAGTTGAGGCGTAGACAAGAAGAGGAACCCAGATAAGGTGATGGTGGAGAGGGAGAGGTGACTAATGGTAACATAGGAGTGAGATAAAAGCAGATAATCATCTGTATCAACCCCTGGATATGAAGTAAATGAAATAAATAACAGACTTAGAATCAATTGTAAAGGAATAGTAGAACAGGTAGATAGAAAAAGAATAAAAAGAAAAAATATCAAAGGATGGATGGACAGATAGAAGAGGTCATGGTTGACACACAAGGAGACAGAAAATGTTAGTTTAATGTTTTAACCTATTTATTAAAAAAAATTATAAATAAAAAGAGCAATCAGTTGATATGAAATTATAGAAAAACTGTCGAAAACAGAAACAAAAACACTCACTGAAAGACAATGCAGCTGTTCGATAAACGTGAGCCAAAACTGAAAATGTAAGACTATACTGCCACCTGCTGGTTGAATGCATTTACCTATGACTTGCACGACATGAACTGTGTCTTTCTCTCACTAACTGTACAGACACCTCTCCTCTGTTTCTCTGTTTATTCCTGCAGCCCAGTGATTTCTCCGTGTCGCTGAAGGCCACGGGGAAGAACAAGCACTTTAAGGTGCGTCAGTCAGACGGCGTGTACTGTATCGGCCAGCGCAGGTTCAACTCCATGGACGAGCTGGTGGAGCACTACAAGAAGGCCCCCATCTTTACCAGCGAGCACGGGGAGAAGCTGTACCTGGTCAAAGCGCTGCTGTGATTCACATGTCCCTCACACTTACACTGGACCCCTCCTCCCCACCTACAAACACACACACACACAAAGAAACACACTCTGTCATGCACACTTTAAAACTATCGCCACCTCCTGACTGTCTTAACTCAAGCCTTAGCTCTGAACCCTCTGGCTGTGGCGTGTCCACATCTAGATCCTGGGTCTGTGTATTTTTCTGTGACCAGATTAAGAGGTTCTGGCTCTGCTGTCTCCTTCAGGTGCAGCCTCTCTTTCTATCCTGGATGTGTTGACAGACACCACAGGCCTTTATGGAGGGTTAAGCTCTCCCTCTGATGTCATACATACACCAACCCTTCGTGTACTTCCATGCAGATCCAGCCTCTGAGAGACCCTATAATCTAATGTTGTCCTGTCATGTGACTGATCATGTTTTGTTCTTGTTTTGTTTTTTTTCTAACCTAATTTAAATCCATCTCACCGACTTCACAAAGTGACCAGAATCACTCTCTTGCCTTTTTATTCTTCCTCACATTCATCATTCCTTTACACGATGTCTCTCCCTGTTCAAATTTATGTCTTACATGTTGCTCTTTCAATGTTCTACTTGTCTCCATCACCACAGAAAGAACCATTAATAACATACTGTAGATTGTAAATAATAAAAGGATGTAGCTGTCTGTTTGCTAAAGTAAAGCTATGGAGGAAACCTGAACTGTCACAACAAAGGTTTGTTAATTTATAGTATCAGGTCATCATCGGTAGAGTATAATCTCTTTACATTATGTCCCCTTTACATGAAGTTAATACACAAACCTATTTGGGAGACAACAACAAGAGCCTGGTGTCAGGCTACTGCATGAAACCCATAAGGTTTAATCAAAATGTAATGTTTCCCACTGTGATGTATTCTTCATGTCCTGCCTAATGAGATATTTTACAGAATAAAACATCGTGTTTGATTAGAGAAGTTCTGAGACTGGTAAATGGAATTAAAAAAAAAAATCCATGGGAAATTATTTAATGGCATTAAAAAATCAAAGCCACACATAGCTGTTAACCAATGTAGCACGTGTGACCTCAGAAGGCCGGTCACTATTATTCAGGGTTTGTACGTCAGTTCAAAGAAGGGAATACATTTCTACAAACAAGTAATGATACTTTAATAAAATTACCCTTGAACAATAAATGTAGATTTTTGCTAACAGCGAACGAGAGAAACAATCACTGTTGGCAGATTAGTATGAAGTCAATGAACCTAAAAATGTGCATTTACTGGAATCAAAACTTGAACAGAATGGAAAAAGGCCCCTTTAATCACATTTGTAGTGTGCTATTAATGCCTCTGTGCCTGCACATGCTACTAATCCCAGTGTACTGCATTGTCAGACACTAAAGGAAATGCCAAAAACCAGTTACCTACGTTTCAGTTTCTAATATGGGTGTACTTTCTGTACTATGACTTACTGCCTTTGTGCCTGTACGTGTTACTAAATTCTTGAGTAGACACCGAAGCAGAAGTATGTTTTCTTCACTGTTCACAAGCAACCCAAACAGTCCTTCTGTGAAGACGGAACAGTAACCACAACAAAAAAGGGAATAAAATACAGGTTCAAAATGTCATCATAGTGTTATTAACTGTCTATTAATGCCTTTCTGCCTGCGCAAGACAAACACATTACCCACCACAGCTTCATCTTTTAGTGACTACTTGTAACCTGGTAGCTACATCTTTTTGTTTAATATGATCCCTGGCTTTATGTCACTCCTTGACTGCACCTCCACACACACACACACATGTATTCAGTAGTCACGTTTATGAAAACTACTCCATGTGACACTAACATAAACAGATGGAGCATTAATGCAATAGGGGGGAACTCTTGATTTCCTGTAGAGTCTGAATGTTAATCAATGTAACCAAATGTGCCACTGTGTACCTGATCTACGTGCTCCAGGTCTGCACTTCACTCCTTCATACTCTGGTATTCATTCATTCATTCATTCATTTATTCATTCATTCATAGCTCTGTGCTCATGCTTCATTTTCACATTGTGTCACGCTGAAACCTGTCCTCCAGTATGTGTCTGCAGTTCTACGAGGACACCGACTGATGAACGTTTATAAGAAAACAGACATCTCTCTTCTACCACACGAGCTAATTCACCTGATATTGATACTTTAGCTCCTGTCTGCGACTCTGCTGTTAGAATAAATGACTTGTATCCATTTGTATTATTTGTCATAAATATGGTTATATCAGTTCAGAACAGAGACTTCTGCAAGAAGAAAAGTCAGTAGCACAGACAACTGTATTAAACATATTAGTTAGTCATTGATTTAAGGCCCATGAAGTAGACTTAACTGTGAAGAGGGCGTTGAACAACTCCACTTTCGTTGATTTGAAATTATAATGACAGATGCAAATGTTTGCTGAGCATCTTCTCCCAAAGAGTCGCCTTCCAGACGTCCACACTTGACCATAGACTGAATGTCAGAGGTGGCCGTAGCTATGGGATGGCAAAATTAAAAGAAAAGACTCGTAATTTTGTTGTCGCTTTTTTGGTGAAAATAAAAATAAAGTACTATCACAATTTAAGTATATTCTGATAAGAAAATGAATTGTGACTTATGATAATACTGTCAAAAACATTTTTGTTTGTATCCATAAACGCTAAACGCTGTCTTGATATATATACAGTACATATATATCAATACAGATAAACTGTTGAATCCAAATGCCTCCAAAATGTTTGAGAGGCAAGAGAGCTAAAAAACTGTCCTTTTCTTAATCTATTCACTGTTTCCCAAAGATTTTCAAATCTAATTTCATACAAACTTTGCTGTGGTTTCCCTCCTAAGCGATCGGTAAAAGCATTTTTTTTAAGTCTAAGATACAGAGAAATGAGCCAACAAACAAAACACATGACTGAGGTCATGGAGGTTGGGTTCTTCAGATGATCATCTTGTCCACTGGCACTTTGTTCAAACAAATATAAAGGGCATGATTATCTACCTGGGTTGGAACAGAAAAACCCTTAAAGTCTGTACTGGGTTTTTGTATTTAATGTCAAATCAGTAACATTTCTGTCAGCTAGACTTGTTATTTAAATTCAGGGTTTGGGAATCACTGCTGTAGAGAAACCAAATATACAGTCACCTGGTTGTCATTGAAAATATTTCTAAGGCCCAAACCAAACATTTTCCTATTGTTTTTTTTTTAAATCTGTGCATTTGTTAGAATGTACATGTTGATCATGGCGTCCTCAGCTCTTATATGATATATCTGAATGTTACTGAGCATCATTATTTAATTCTTGTCTCCACTGTATGTATATATTCAAAGTAAGATAAGGTGCATATATGAATCGTTCAGATCCAACTAAGGTACTGTATCACCGACAACATGATGAGAATTGCAATACTTTTGTTCAATAAAAACTTTGGAAGAATACTAAATATAGTGAGTTCAATGGTATGATTCTATTGGCATTTTTTTAAGTATCCATACATATCACTGAAGGTTGTGGTTTGAAAAAGATTATTCTAGAGGGATCATTCTAGAACAGTGCTGTCAATGAGTTTGTCACGTGTGAAATTCTAATTGACCCAGGCCACTGGGTTAATCTTACTAAATACGTCTATTGTAATCGATTGAAAGAAAAAGCAGCAGTATCGTCTTTCTCCACACGACGGCGACATTGGTCCTACAACGGCCTTTACCATGATGGTGATGGTGAGTGCCTACGGTACATACGGGCTGCTGAAGAATTGCTGCAGAGAAAGCAAGTCAAGATTTTAAAGTATTTTTCTTAATACTCGAGCACTCAAATTGAACTCCGATAGGGTGCGAGACTATGATGATATATTTTAAGATTATGATGTTTGTTTGGCTACCGATAATGCAACAAGTTGAGTTTAACCGGTTTAATAAATGTAATTTTAAATGTAACGTGTGCATTAATAAGGATAATTAAAATGAAAAAATCAATCATCGGATTAGAAACATTCTTTATCTGATGAAAAACGACAATCTGCAGAATTTGATGCTAAACTCTTAAAGAAGGAAACGAGATTAAAGCACATGTTGTCATACTTCTTTTAGCCGCTAAGCGGCACTGTTGGACACGAGAAATAGTGCCACCGAATAATAGCCATTCTGGTCCAACGTCCCTTCAGAGTTAATGGTTGTAAAGCCTTGAGCTTCTCACCAGGACTCAGTTTATTGGCGTCGTCTCTCCGAAAATAAATATATATAAAAAATACAAGATAATATATAAACTAATATGCACAGCTTAAATAAATTCATTTGTTAAGGGAAAATGTTTATTCGTTAATTGTAAAAAATAAATGATAATAACAAGGGAATTGCCGTTTCAGACCAACTTTTCTAACGTGTCATCCTCCTGCTCTTGTACTGCATTTGTAGCTGTTAAATGACAGAAAACAACATAAAAAGTACAAAATAAACGTTGAATTCCATCATACTATCTTTTTCTACGTTTTGATTTATTTTAACTACCCTGCCCTTTTAACCAGACCACGTCACCTAAAGGACAATTACTGTACAGGTTCCAGGCAAACTTAAGATTAGTTTTCAAATAATTAGTTAATCAACCTTCAAAAAAAATGTATCAAAACTTTCTATACATACTATACAAAATTCTATACAAAATATTCTCACATTTGTACAAACTCTTTAGAAAACCTCTTTTCAAGTGCTTGTTTGTATCATGTTCTCCATCAGCTGACTCTTCAACATTAATTGGCAATGTTGGTACAGTTTTCAGTCCCATATGGTCTAGCGGTTAGGATTCCTGGTTTTCACCCAGGCGGCCCGGGTTCGACTCCCGGTATGGGAACACAGTTTTTTCAATGAATCAGACCAAACCGATACAGCTAGATTCTGGCATACACGAACAAAGATGACTGCACACAGCTAGGCTTTGTATTTGTGGTCTGCCTCAACAAAACCTAAAGCCCCAATTGTCATCTTGCTTTGTCAAGTCCGGTTTGACATGACGTTATTCAACTTTCTCGCAAAATGGAGCGATCCCAGTGAACATATTACAGGAAAATAAAAAGACCATCACCAAAAGCAACACTGTCGCTGCCAACCTGGAAAGGCATCAGTGCTGGGAGAAAATTACCGACTGTGTAGATCCGTAATAATATTATGTTGACAATAGCGTGCAGTGATCGCGTGTACCTAATCATTTACAAACTAATGAGCCTGCACTTGGTGTCATGCAGGATGCTTGTGATTGGATAACGAGGCGCATCCGTGCCCTTTAAAACCGGAAAACCTGTTACTGTTGCAAAATGGCGTGCGTGAAAGCACAGAGAGAAGAGTTTTTCTGTTATGGCGACGGTACGTATTTTTATCTCTGTTTCTCTTCATTTTGGCGGTTGTGAAGGACCAGTATTCCGCCGAGCGTGCGGTCGGTTTGTTTTAAATCGCGGAGTGGGGCAGCCGGTTAGCATACTAAACAGTAGCTTGTTTGAGCCACACGGTTAGCACATTCAAACTAATTCTGACCGCAGTTATCGCTTCAGTCAGCTTGTTATTGTCCGTTCAGGTGTAGCAGCAGACCCATGTCGCCATGAACTGGGCCGGTGGACTCCACCACGCCCGTTCCTTAGCTGTTCAAGTAAGACAAAAACGTGTCACTTTTTTTGTCACCGAAAATAAAACTTTTGGACAGCGTTTACAGAGTGTTGTTAAATGTTTACAGGACATCGGGGCTGGAAAGAGCAAATACCATGCACTGAATTACCCACGAAGCCATCTTTAAACCGGACGGTAAGTCTGTTTTACTGAGTGCGATTTAGTTTTGTTGTTGTTGTTGTTTTTTCAACTTTAACTTCTCTGTGGACAAGCTTTTTATTTATTTATTTTGAAGTGTGCGTCTTGTGTTTAAATCATGGCCAAAGTAAAGCGATATACCAGCGCAGTGGTCTTTGAGTGTGGAGCCGGTTCAACGTCACTATTAAAGGTATGAAAAGAAATGGATTTAAGCCTTTCACGGGTATTGACTAAAGAGTGACACCAACTGGACAAATCTAGTACAGACAAGATTGACTACAACCAGAACAAGTAGTAGTGTTATTGCATTTACTTTATTTGTCTTTGCAGAAGTGATAGAGGAGGAAGAGAGAGTGTTGGTTTTGATTTTGTCCAAATAAAGTATTTTTATGTTACTTGAATATGAAATTCTTTAAATTACTAAGTAGTGGCACAAAGCAAATGAGTGGTTTGCTGAAGTAGATTGTAGTGGTTAATTGAAGCGTTTTGTAACATGCTAGAGCTAAACACAATTTCAAACAAAATACACCTGACAATTGTTTTCAAAAACCCACCATTTCAATCACATGTAGCCACCGTGCCCAGCTTTTTTTTTTATTTTTTTTTTAACACCCGCTGGAAGCCCAAAGCCCCTCGTATCTCACGCGCGGGATATGCAACCATAAATGAGGACCGTACAGCATTCCTATTTCTGTTATTTCCAATATCAGTGCGCCCTCTACCGCTAACATTCACTTTTTTTTTTGTTTGTTTAGTA